TCAAAGACTGCCAAGTGTCCTCGAGCGACCTGCTGGAGATTGCAAAAGCTGCTCTGCAGGTGAGGCTCATCTGTGAGGTGATTGGGAACTTGCTTTTATATAAATTCCGAAAGCAAAGCATGAACCGAACCGAACCATTTGTGATTTGCGAACCAGAGGTATTGCATGAGGGACGGGAGTGGGAGAAAAGACCGAGTTTGAGGCGGGCACTGTAGAATTCTTTCCTGCAAATTTGGAAAGGCATTGTGTCCGCAAAACGATCATATGCACTCATGTATTGGGAATGTGTCTCAAATTGATTGCAAGGCGGAGCGTATTCACTCGAAAGGGTTCCAAAGTCGTAGACGAGGAGCCCGGATTTTATGCAGTTCAATTCAAGCAAAAATGGGAACGTGAAGGTATTCAGTGAGTGCTTTCACCTTTCCTAAGGTGGATTTACGGAGTATCCTTGCTTCCATCCATACGTCTCAAGAGCATATCACTTAGGTTGCAGGCCATCGCTCTTAGGTTGGAGGCGTGGAGGCCATCGCTCTTAGGTTGGAGGCCATAGCTCTTGGGTTGGTGCCATTAGGGTGGAGGCCATCGCCATTAGGTTGGAGGCCCTCGCTCTTAGGTTTGAGCCCAGGCTGTATGCCATCCCTTTTAGGTTGGAGGCCATCACTATCAGGGTGGAGGCCATCGCTATTAGGGTGGAGGCCATCGCTCTTATTTTTTACACCTTTGGCTCAAAGCTACTGAGGAGGGGAACGAGGTTTTGGCTGCATCTGCTGGTGGCAGTCTTCCAGACAAATTGGAAAGGTCTGGTTGCCAAGAAGGGTTCCGGTCTCTTGCATGGACGTCTAGACTAGGCAAGTTTTCATGTGAAACTTCAAGATTTATGATGATTTCTGTATTTTTCTGTTTTTACTTACCATCACCATGTGAAAACAGCGCGGATCAACCGGTCAATATCGCTTTAGCTGGCACAACCGAGGATTGCCCAGGAGAAAGGCGGCTCGGACTCGCGCTGGTGGCAGGCTTGCGCAGCATTGGCATCTGGGAGTCCAAAAGAACAGTGGCCGGACTTGAGAGCACCACAAAGGTGCAAAGTTCAAAGCCTTTTTCCTTTTTGCTGGGCAAGGCTACAAAGTTTTGTACGTACGAGGCTGTGAGTTGCATTGCAAGATTATTTTTCGCACTATTCCTGAAGCTTATGTGATGGTTCTAGCACTTTGCTATTGCATGCAGTATTTTGTGGTTGGACTGCCTTGTTAATTTAACTGACAGTGACAGTGCATGCAGTGCATGCAATCGGTATGTGGTGTTTCTGCAGTAGCATATTTATATATTATAGCCGTAGTACAGTAACCGTAACCGTATATATATATATATATGTACACATGTAGAGTCTATGTGTACATTTACCCTGCTTTGACTGGTCAGGTCTTGTGTACTTGAGCTCTGCGGCAAATGGTCTGGATGATCGGCTTGTTTTGATGAAGTGACAGAGATAGGAGATAGACAGGTGAAGGACAGATTCAGTTACAGGTGGACATTCCGGCTTTCATTCAAGAAGGCAACTCTTTAGATTGAAGCCGAAACACACAGAACTATCTCGGCTCCAACCTTGCAGTTGCTCTCATGTCCTCCATTTTCTCTGCCACACCGTCATGCTCCACTGTCATTTCTCAATGCTTGACGTCGGGCCCAAGCAAACAAACCATGCAGATGTATTTCTGCAAAACGCCTGCACACTGTAGATACACACATTGCAGCACTGCAGTATCTGAAGTTCACTCCACGTGGAACTATGCCACAGGGCCGCACAACAACGAGCGTTTGCACACAGCAATGGGTGCCGGGGATACAAGCACACACCATAAGCCAGTAGAGTATATGAGCAACTGTCAAAACCTCCGATGAAGGCAGCATCACTACAGTGAAGGCTAAGTATTTAGTAAAGTGAGGGACACCTTCAGGAACGATAAGGTTCACAAAAAAAGACAAATTACTTTACTTCGAGTGATCCCCACCATGACATTTCAATCATTTGTCTTGATGCCATAGTGAGGAGCATGTTGCCATGGTCGTGAGTATTGTAGTTCTCGAATTTGCTTGTGGGTCCTCGGGTTGTGTGGTTGTGTGTTGTGTTTGTGCTTGTGTGCTGTGTTGTGGTTGTGGTTGTGTGTTTGTGGTTGTGTGTTTGTGATTGTGTTTGTGGTTGCGTGTTTGTGGCTGTCTTTGTGATTGTGTGTTTGTAGTTGTGGCTGTGTTTGTGGTTGCATGTTTGTGGTTGCATGTTTGTGGTTGTGTGTTTGTGGTTGTGTGTTTGTGGTTGCGTGTTTGTGGTTGCGTGTTTGTGGTTGTGTGTTTGTGGTTGTGTTTGTGGCTGTGTGTGTGTTTGTGATTGTGTGTTTGTAGGTGTGCTTTTGTGGTTGTGTGCTTGCTGTTGTGTTTGTGGTTGTGTGTTTGTGTTTGTGTGTTTGTGGTTGTTGTGTTTTGGGTTGTGTGTTTGTGGTTGTGTGTTTGTGGTTGTGTGCTGTGGTTGAGGTCCGGCAGGGGATAATGGGCGTGGATGGTCGTGGTTGAGGTCCGGCAGGGAACACTGGGCGTGGATGGTCGTGCGGTCCGGCAGGGAACACTGGGCGTGGATGGTCGTGGTTGAGGTCCGGCGGAGCAGGACGAGGAGGAGAAGAAGGAGGCGGAGGAGGAGGAGGAGATGGGGCTGACATAAAGCCTAACAACCCTCACCTGACAGGTGGGGAACAAGGATTGAGTACATGTTGTTACGTGTGTCTCAGGAACGATATGGTTCACAGAAAGCCGATGACGTTGGTAAGAGCGCTCACTGCAGCACATAAGAGGTATTGCACGTCGCTCACGTCTGTCTGTCTGTCTGTCTGTCTGTCTGTCTGTATGTATGTATGTATGTATGTGTGTATGCATGTATGTATGTATGTATGTATGTATGTATCGTTGACTTCGATGACATACCCTACGTTGATTCCCCTATATCTACAGTAGAAGGAAGAACTCTTGTAGCACATGGGATAGACAAAGCTGTGACATCTTCCATTTCCGTTGACGCTAGAGATCTTGGTTCTTCCATCAACATATTCCCTTCAGCCATGACATGTGTTTGATGCTGCCGTGTGGCAGCCGCGCAGCAGGCTTCACCCTCCCTGGATGCCATCAACTCACTCTTCCATTGGATTTTCCCGGACTGTGAGGCTACAAACGAAGTCAAACTCCATAATCAGGCAAATGAACGATGCTGTCGGATTGAGGCAATCAGAGGCCTTCCTTGCTCAGCTCCTCAAACATTGCGGATTTTGTAACATTGTGGACATTGTGAGTTGATATGACTTGAATTGACTTGGGGGCAGCGGATCCGAATGATGTGGAGGCTCCAGTCCCCGTGGAACAGCTTCATGAGCGAAAGATTGAAAAGACGACGTTACAAAGTATGTAAGTTGCATTCCCCTCCAGTTTGACTCAATAGCTGGAACACCACTACTATAGAGAAATTGGGCAGATGTTCCTGAACTGGGGAGGTGCAACTGTAATGTGAAGATGAGGTCTACCCTCATGTATGCATATGAATTCAGCCACAACAGCCGCACGGCCGCTTTGAAGAAGCGACCATCTTGCGAAGTGGCAGACCACACTAAGATCTGCTTTGGGTGTGGACCATTAAATCTGAACTTCCTGGTAGTGATTCGTGATCATGTCTTTTTCATTCCAATAGAGTTATTTGTACAAAGACAAAGCAGATCCCGATGTTTAGCTCCTGCAACAGCTTGGACTGTTCCTGGAGCTGAGATGGGCCGGGCGTTCATCCCTCCTAATCAGACGCCTGTTTTTGGCTCAAAAGAGAAGTCCGTTTTAGTTAATTCTGAAACCTGGTTCTGTGACGGTTGAGCTAAGAAGGTACATGATACATGGTCGTAGCTTGCGCCTTGTCAAGTTGCCCTGTACATGGATTGGTTTGCAGGCCTGCCGCAGAACAGTGAAAGCTGCTTGAGGTAAGAGGTACATAGGGTGTGCTCGCGACCCTATCAAAAGGTATGACACCTGTGGTTATGGTTGAAGTCCTGCTGCTGAGGGTGCCAGTATCTAGGTGATGCGCCCTGTAGTTCAACCAACAATGTCCCTCGACAGTGGCCTTTGTCAAGAAGATCACCTCCGTGCACCATCTGAACATCAAAATGCTGCCGTGACTTTGGCTCAGGCAATTAGATTCGGACGACCCGACTGCTTCAGGACTTCACCGCTTCGACAAAGATCATGCGCACCAGCATTTGCCAAATATGTTTTTTATTTTTTAGTGCTTTTTGGATGCTTTTTTGCTATCTCAATGATGTTTGCAAGTTCGCAACTGGGACATGTTACTCACTACCCAAACCTTTCTGATAGCAAGGAAGGCAGTCCTTGGCTTCCTCATCGTGTTCTTGAACCGTGCCTCCGCCACCTGCGATGCATCAGCTTATGCAACTTGCGTTTCAGGGCTTGGCACTGCTCCAGTGACCACAAATGTCACGGAAATTTGTGAGTACGTCGGCGGATTCTACAGCTGCTATGGAGCCGCCGACTGCTGTGACATCGTGGAGGGTGCATCCGCGGCCTATGCATCCTGGAATTGCACGGTGACCTGCAGCGATTCCGATTCCACTGGGCAAATCTCAGGCTCCTCGAGCTTCTTCACCGTTGCTGCGACTTTGAACATTGCCCTTGTCATGTGGGCCCTTGGTTTGTAGGGTCGCCCGGATGTTTGGAGTACTTGTCGAGCACCACGCAAGGATTCGTGGTGGCTTGTACAATATACAGAGCAGTTTAGAAGCAAGCAATGACTTGCTCAGCATCCTGCCTAATTCACGTCCTTGCTAGCAGATTCAGGCCTTTCACATGGTCAGCAGCGAAATGTGAGGATCAGAGGCAGTCCTGCACCTCCAGCGTGACTGATTTCTGCTCTTCTTCTCTGCAGGGAATTTCCAGCACGGGATCGCACAAAGACATCTCAGGTGCCGGCCACAGACTGGCAGATGTTTTGGAACAGCCCGGAGATGGTGCTTCCAGAGGCTTGACGGTTGAGTGCAAGTGGTTCAACAATGACAAGAGCTCAAGAGCTTGAGTAGGCTACCTTTGATAGTTGATACCGGGAAGATGTGGTAATACAGTTTATACGATGGCAACTCCTTCAGAGGGACATTCTGACACTTGAGCAATGGAGTGGGAACCCAATCAAGCATGGTACGAATTTGACTGGTGGATTCCTCACCAGCGTGGAAAGCTTTGCCAAGTTTAGATCCAAGCCAAACACTGCAGGTGCGCGAACGCAAGGCACCAAGACCCTGTGATGGAGAACGCACTGGATTGATGGTTGCTCGAGCCAAAATCTGGATATTCATAAGTAGCATTGACGTTTTTTGGTGTTGCCGAGCTCAGGGATTTCAAGCCAGTGATCGGACTGCGATGGTTGTATATAATTGTATTACTTCATTGTGTGCTCTGCAGGGTTGAATGTCCACTGTATGTGCTGGATTGTGCTGGCTGGTTCCTCGCATGCCGACATCTTTGGTTGCTAGAAGGAAGACAAGCAACAAGGTTGCTGTGTATTTATGCCTCCCTGCTTGAAGCTTCGACCACCGAGGACGCCGCTATCCGGGACTCGTATCAGCAAGCCACTTCGAGGCCAGTGATTCAGGAACCTAAGCCAGTGACGCTTCTTTGTGTGTGTGTGTTTTCTTTCTTTAATTTTTACTTTATATAATATATATATATTTAAAATACCTTTTAAGCGTCAGTGGAACATGTTAGCCAAATGCCTTTCAGCAGCAAGAAATGGGCTTCATAGATTCCTCAAGGTGTTTTGCCCAGACCCCCTCGATTTGTTGAGCGTCCTGACCTGAGAGATTTTGCAGGGTTGTGGATCTATCCTGGAAACAGCGCAAGCATGAAGAGCGAACAAGCAAAGACTGCTTTAGCTGAACTCTTTTCATGCAATCCTGATTGAATTACAAAGATTCGGGATGAATGAGAAAACGAGATAAGATGACTGGTTGCATCTGAGTGGTTTTTGGTCGTTTTGGGTTTTGGATTGGCTTTGTGTCAGGGATGGACCTTCTTGTTGTCCACAAGCGACACGGCCAGACGCCTGCGCACCATGTCGATCTTGAAGGACCAGCTCTTGGATTATTGAAGATACAATTCCTGACAAGAATTGTATCATTTCCAAAACAACATCTCCCATCAAAGGATGCTTTGGCCTAAAGCTCAATAACACGGACCTGGGGAACCACAGACTAGCATAGACTAGCAGCGTTGTTCAGAGTGTTTTTGCAGTGGCATGTGAAGTTATGTTGCGGCCTTCCGCAGTTTCTGGCTTTCTCAAGAGATCTGGCTTTTGGGGCAGGGGACGCAGCGGCTAACGCAGTGCTCCCGGGATGTCTCGCTGGCGATGTGTTGATTTTGCGTGATTTGCAATCTTTCTTAACTGGTGAATTTCCTTCTCACTCAGTCACTCAGTCCCTTCTTTCCCGACTTGAAGACAGTGCCTTTGCCAGCTCTTGTCGGTTGATACTTTCTGTTTCAGCTACACTTTTCTCCAGTTTGCATTGATTGGCAGATTGAATCGTCAGCTCTGTAGTGATACATAACCTCAACTCTGTCAGGGAACTGCGGGCTTTGTTCATCCGCGGGATGTGCCGAGCTGCTCAATGTAAAGGACACCCAAGCATAGGAGAGCTATATAATTGAGCCTCTGAGGAATGGCCACAATAATACAATTGCAAAACTCTGTGTCGAGTCCATTGTGACCTATCAATCCACAAATATTATATATATATATATACACACTGTATATCCTGAACTGATTGTTCCTTCCTGACGGACTTCCTCAACTGAGGCCACGCTCAAGATGTTGCCATTGCTCTGAAAGAGTTTCACTGGCGTGGATCTCGGTGCAGGAAGTTCAGGAGACACATTAAGCAGCTACTCATAGCAGTTTCACCAGCCAATAGTGGTAATTAAGGTGAAGAATCAGTTGATCTTTCGAAAGCTGTTTCGAATGGAGGTCTCTGCAGGTTTTGAAATTGTCAGTGTTTGAGAGCTTTGAGGTGCACATCCCGGGTGATATGAAACAGTGGGCCTTTGTTGACATTCTCTTCCGCTTGGAGCTGAGCGCAACTGGGAACTACATCGTCAGCCCACTCAGCCTACATCGTCAGGCTATCACTCCCCGTTCACTGACTGGGATGAGAAGGAGTCCCGCTCCCAGCTGGGCCAGCTGAGAGTTAAACTTATGGTGCCCTGCAGACATAGGAGCTGCGCCGCAAAGCACTTCGCTTTGTTAGTGTCCGCTAGGCTTCAAGCCTCGCTCACCCGAAAGTTGTGGCAGAAGGAGTGGGATTTCGCAGTCTCTGATCCTGCTGAAGTATTCGGAATTGTGAACAAATCGAACAACATTGTAACAAGCCGCTTTTTTTGTAAGCTGCAACTTGCAGACAAAATGCCTCGCCTATATAATAGCATACCTGTCAGGAGGCTCGCTTTGCACAGCAGAGCCAGGAAGTGCAGAAGGTTAGGACGTGCAGTGGTGCTGGGACAACATTGTTGGTTTCCTTCAGAGTTCTTTCCACCACCCACCTGTGAATGAATACATGTTGGATTGAGGAAGGGTGCTGTCATTTTCAAAAAGCATAGCATCAGAACAGGGACACAGTCTGTAGAGCTGGTTGTGTGCCAATCGCCAGTCTGCTGGCCGAATGGCAGAGCTCTATGGGGGCGAGGCAGCAAACGAATTGGAGAAAACACTCAAGCATGCAGGTTCTCATCCATGCGTCAAGAGCGAGAATATCTTTGGAACGAGTCATCATCAAGACAACTCCAAACTTTCCCACCTCGAGATTCCTGGCACATGGGCACTTTGAAAGGATTTGGTGCAGAATGCAGCTGCTTCAGGTTTGCTTCAAACGTCAAGAGAAGCGGTGTTGCACTGCACACAATGCCGTGCGTGAGCCTCAGTGCGAATTGAGACAAGTTCAGGCCTAGACTGGCCATGTGAGGAGAAAGGAAATGAAGGTCTTGTACAAGCCAGCTTCCCAGATCCCGTTATTTTGGAGATTGATGCTTGAACAACGTGCTTGGCTTCGCACGTCTTGGGTGGAGATGTCAGATCGCGATCTCAAGACTCCGTTTGCGCACTATTATTCGGTCAGTCTCTTCCAACATCACTTAGCAAATCAAAAGGCAAGGCGGTTGAGCACCAGTATATAGTTGGGGACTCTTATGTTACTTCGGTCTTCTTGTATTGTATGTCAGTATGTCTTGCTTATATATATATATATATATAAGTAGACAGTGGAGCCATCTATACAAGTCATTTTCCCATTTGGGAAGACAAAGTTCTGTGCTCTCTTTGTTGCCGGACCATGTGCGGCAGGACTTTGAACATGAAGCCTTTGCCACCACCGTTTCGTTTGGAGGTGCGGTGTTCAGGGGTATTGACTTAGTGTCCTAATACTTACAGAGGGGAAGTAGGCCGTGAAGAGTGGAGGGGGGGGTTGGTATCCGAGTGTCGACAGGATGCTTTGGTACATGCAAGGACATGTGAGCTTTTTATCGTAGAAGGAAGCTTCTGAAAGCTTGCCGCATGAAACGTGTCCTAATTTTGCGGGGGAGCTAGTGACAACTTGGAAGCTGCTTTCACAGGTAGAGTCCAACGCTCCTGCTGATGGCCACATGCTTATTGGCAAAACCAGCTTGTTTGACATTCGAACCATGTGATGGTGCTGTGCAGTTCTTTGTGATGTGGCCAGGCACAGGGCCCTGGAACTCTCTGGAGGTCGTCCTTCAGTGAGTTCCCATTGTCGTTTTTCATCCCATCATATCCCTTCCATCCCCATTTTCATTCTTATGGATGCGACATTACTCCTGGACACCACGTCTCCGCCGAGTCTCCGCCGTTCGCCCTGGCTGAAGACCGAGCCAACGGTGCCCTTGTCGCAGATCATCTTCGGTGCCAACGGTGCCTCCTTCTCTGCCATTCGGCCTGGCTCTTGTGGTCGATCTGCCAAGAAGTTGTGGAGCTAAAAGCAATTGTGATCTCATCAGAGCCTGGGCACAGGATGCTTTCTCCTTAAAGCTTACTGATGTGTGTAACTAGACTGAAACCTTTGGCCTAGGTGGCTCTCCAGTGGAAACCCTACTCCCTTGACAGCCTTTGACGGCAGCCCTCAAAAGGCAATGCCTTTCTGGAAGATGCTGTGCTTAGTTTTGAGTTCACTTTGTGGCCATCATTTGTGTATGCCGTGGTCTGAAATCTGAGTTCAGACAGGTGCAGTCAGCTTTACCATAGCTTTCGGCTCACAAAAAGCGCACGGTCTTGTTCAAACACGCGCGGTTTTGCTCGGCAGCATCAGTTGCCTGGACTTGTGCCCAGGATTCACAGGTTGCGTAGTGCAATGGACACTGCCTACTTGCGGCAGCTGGGCTTGGATCTACGTAGCGCTCCTGAATTGAACATCTCTCGACCTTATTCGGCAGCTGCGCTTGGTGCACCAAGTGCGCTCGGAGCCTCGCCCAAGCGAGAAGGAGGCTCTCCGAAGAAGAGCTCGGCTGTCAATGGGAGCTTTGGTAAAGACCTGCTGGGCAAAGGTTTTGGTGAGGCTGTGATTCGTGGAGGTCATCCTCCATGGCTAGTACCAAATGCTGGGCACGATAGTGGTTTGCAGGTCGTCAATTCTTTGACCGGGGAAAAGGAGCCGTTCAAACCTTTAAACGGCAAGAAAGTGATATGGTACACCTGTGGGCCTACAGTTTATGATGTGGCTCACATGGGCCATGCCCGAGCATACTTGACATTTGATATTCTGCGAAGAATAATGATGAACTACTTGAATTTTGATGTGCAGTACCAGATCAACATCACTGACATTGATGACAAGATCATTCTCCGAGCTCGACAGAACAAGCTTTTTGATGACTTCTGCAAGGAGGCTGCGGGAATGTCCTCAGAAATCTTGAGGAACAAGGTTCAAGAGGCAGTCCAGAAGAAGGGAGCCAAGTTGGAAGCAAAGGCACCTGAAAGGCCCACTGGAGGAAAGGGCTCATCTCGAGCTGAGCAGGAGTATGAGACGTTGGTGGAAGAGCACAGGCTGAAAGTCAAGCAGCACACGGAGCTGGCTGCCAAGATTGAGGAGGCCCTTTCCAGCGGCAGCAGTGACCGCATCCTAAGCAGTGCGAAGGAGGTCCTGATGGACACCCTTGACAAGGAGCGGGGGCACACGGTCACAGATCATTCCATTTTTGACCAGCATGGAAGGCGCTTTGAGAAGGAGTACTTTGAAGACATGAAAGCTTTGGGGGTCCTTGAGCCTGACATTGTGACCAGAATCACCGAGTACATGGATGGCAGGGTTCAGAAGTTTATAGAAAGACTTGAAGAGATGGGTGTAGCCTATGAATCTTCCGGAAGTGTGTATTTTGATATTGCCGCATTCCAAAAGCTGGGCTACCACTATCGAAAACTGGTACCAGACATCTGTGCGACAGCCAAGGAGATGGAAGAAGGTGAAGGAGCTTTGGCTGCCGATGATGAAAAGAGGAGCCCAAACGACTTTGCCCTTTGGAAAAAGTCCAAACCTGGAGAGCCTGCTTGGCCAAGCAAGTGGGGGCCAGGTCGGCCAGGCTGGCACATTGAATGCTCTGTCATGGCAACAGACAAAAGCGGAGAATATCTGGATATCCATGCAGGAGGCGAGGACTTGAAATTCCCACATCATGACAACGAAATGGCTCAATCCGAAGCCTATTTGCAGCGCTCGCAGTGGGTGAACTACTTTTGGCATGCAGGGCACTTGCACATTCAAGGCCTGAAGATGTCAAAGTCCCTCAAGAACTTCATCACGATCAGGCAGGCCTTGGAAGTTCATAGCGCGAGGCAGCTGCGCTTGATGTTCTTGATGCAGGCTTGGGACAAAGGCATGAACTACTCTGACCAAGCAATTGATATGGCAAAGGCAGAGGAGCGGCGAATGAAGCATTTTCTGGGTAGCTTGGAATTCTGGCAGCGTCAAGGAGGAAGAGTGCCAGGAGGTGACGAAAAGCTCGAGCAGGCGATCAGTGACTGCAAGGACAAGATTCACAGTGCCATTCTCGACAATTTTGCAACATCTATGGTAGTCGAGGCCATTTCAAAGCTTGTTCTAGAAGCCAAGGCCGTCATGGACTCCCCAACTGGCTCCTTGGAGCCAGTGGTCAAGGCTGCTGAGCTGATCGAATCGACCATGTCCATGCTTGGTGTTGAGGGCTTGCGAGTCACACAGGAGCCGAAAGAGGCTTGGATAGAGGCTGTAGACATTGTTGCATCCCTGCGGCAGCAAGTCAGGGACTTGGCAAAGGAGAAGGATGCAACCCAGCGGCAGAAGCTGGTCAAGGAAGTCCTGGCCAAAGTGGAAAGCCCATCTTTGGCAAAAAAAGCAGGTCTGAAGGACCTTGTCAGCACCTTGGAGACGTTTCAGAAGGACCTGAAAAGCCTAGCTGATTCGAACTCCACCCCAGATGAGCTTCGAGAACGCTGCGATCAAGTGAGGAACGTAGATTTGATCCGGCTTGGAGTGCGCTTGGAGGACCGAGGAACTGGTGGATATATTTGGATGTTCGATGACCGGCAATCGATGGAGGTTGAACAGAAGGAGGCAGAGGAAAAGGCCAAAGCAGCTGCACGTGAGAAGATCTTCAACAAGCTGAAACAGAAAGCCAAAGAGCTTGAGGTGGCTGAGAAAGCTGCCATTAATCCAAAAGACTTGTTTCACACCGGCTCCAACAAAGGTCTCTATGCGGAGTTTGATGACGATGGTGTTCCGACGAAGCTCAGCAGTGGAGAGGAGGTGAAAAAACAGAAGCGCAAAGACTTGGCAAAGGAGTTAGCCAAGCAACAGAAAGACTATCAGAAACTTCAGTCACAGGGTGATGTTGATGCCGTGATTTCGAAGATGCGCAGCGAAGTGGATGAGTTGAAGAGACAGCTCCAGTAGTAAAGCGAAGAAGACATATCAGCGTTTGGACATACCCGATGGTGGAGGAGAGACTTTCTTTCTAGTTTGCTTGCGCCCCGCAGAGACACCGAAGATGGTGACACGCTCTGCTTGCTACACAAAGTAGACACAGAAACGTGTGAATTTCATGTTCAGAAAGTGCAAGCGCTGCACAAAATGTTCGAGCACGATTCGCTTCGCTCAATTCATTCCCTGACTCTCTGATTTCAGCATGAAATTTGGAGATGTACAGTCCAGAATGTTGGGGGTACCAAAAAGGTGTGAAGCCTTGAAATTTGAAACTCTCCACGTCTCTCCACACAGATTACTGTAATTGCACTTGTGTTTGCACTCTTTGGACGAGCATCACGCCGGTGGACTGCGATGTGTCTTCACAAATTTGATGCGCTCGTATGACTCGGGAGGATGCGCAGCAGCTGCATATGACCCCCTGGAAGGTCCAGGTCCAACTGGACGAGGATCCATGAGCCTCAAACAAGCCCATTCCTTCTTTGAGACGTTTCCACATCTCCCTGTTGTGGACCTGTTCTCCTTAGCCGCTTTCAATAGTAACTGTAACTGAATGTATTGGTCTTGAGAATCTGAAGAGTGACTGCGTTCGGCGACTACGTTTGGATCAACATTTGGAAAAGCACTGAGCACACTGAGGGCCAAGTCCAAACCCCTGGATTATGTTCCGGCCAATCTTCCCAGCAGAACCGATCATGTTCCGCCTGCGCAACTACGCTCTGTCTTGCTCTTTCGCGGTTTTGAAACAGCAACCGAGCCACCGGGAATGTTTTTGTCCGTGCGCTGCAAGGATGGCAGACTGGGAGTGGTGCATGGCACGGCTGCCTGACACTCAAGGAATCCCCGGGCAATTGGTGGTGTGGCGACCAGAAGAAGACTTTCCAGGCACTTTTGCACTGGCCATCTTGCTAAGGAATGGGGATTCTACGTGCCAGAACATTATCTAGGGTCGCTGAGGCATAGAGTGGGCAGAAATGATGAAAGGAAAACGTACTTGTACAAATCTTGCAGACAAAACCATCTACCATGGGGACATACTGAGTGCCTGGTGAAGACCACAAGGAGCCAAAGCCTGACTCTTGCAGGCAACACCCTGTGCAAATCTATGCTGGAAGCCAAGTTCTCTAGTAGGTTGGAGGCCATGGCCATTGGGTCGGAGGCCATCGCTCTTAGGGTGGAGGCCATCGCTATTAGGTTGGAGGCCATCGCTCTTCGGGTGGAGGCCATCGCTCTTAGAAGCCAAGTTTTGTCGTTGTGATCGCTGAGCCGCCGAGGTTGGCGTGCCAGGAGATGTGAGTGCAACTTGGACAGTTTGCCGAAAGGACTTATCTAGCGGCCTGCCCAAAAAGGATCATGCCCAGCGGTGCAGACTTGTGGTTGGGTCGATTTGGGCTTCTTCTTAGCCACTGTCACTGCAGCTAAGCGCTCTTGGATGCACACACTGCACATGCCACAAGCTTGCACATCTTGAGGAACCAGCATGACACAAACACCAGCTGAGGTAAGGCAATCACGTCAATCTTACTTTGACTTGAAACAACTGCAAAGTTCGTTACCTCGGCTGTAGGGAATGTGCATCAGTGCAAATTTGCAGATAGGAAGATAGGCGTTGCTTGCCAGTTCGCACGGTTGCCATGCAGTTGCTGCCTCATTTGCCAGATGCGATCTTAGGCGTGGTGTCAGCACTGCCCCTGACAGATGCATTGGCCATCCGTGTCACCTCCAAAGGAGTCGAAGCTTCGACATCGGAGGGTTTGTTGCGTCTCAAGAAGTTGGACTTGACTCATCCAGTCGCACAAACTGAGACAACGCCTCCAGCGTGCCTGGGTGGTGTCCAGTACTTGATTCTACGGCAAGGAATTTCCTCCGTGAAAGGTCATTTACCGGATTTGGCCGAAGAGCTTGCAGCTGCTGTTGCCTTTGCTCTTCAGCTGCCCCGGCTTCAACGCATTGACCTCACGCGGTATGACTGCAGCTTGCTTTTCTCAAAGCATCGTGGGCATCCTCAGGAAGCACCTTTGTTGCCACACTGCTTTGTAGCCAGTGAAGGATCGTTTCAATCATCTTTAGAGGAGGCGAGTGTTTGGGCTCAGCTTTTGAAGGGCGCCCAAGGCAAGCGGACTGAGCCGAGGGACGACTGGTCTACCACTCTAAGAACTGTTCGGGCTGCTGCCTGCAGTGCCGCGGGCGTAGCGGCCCGCAGCTTTGTGGCGCATGTGGTGTGCAATGAGGGAACCGAGGCATTGATCAGTGACCTGCAGATGTTGCCCAACCTGGTGGAGTTGCAGCTGGCTTGAAACTAAGCTGTCTCACCTCGAATTGCTTCAACATTTGGGTGGGTGACTGGGTCATCGGTGTTTGTCGTCACACTGCGAGGTTTGGTGGCCAAGCACTCACCGGTTATGTTCACCTGAAGCGTGCTATGTGAAACAGGCCAGAATCTCAGCCTCCTCAGCCTCCTCCACTCCTTGCTCTTTCATCCTGCTTCGCGACTTTTAGGTGACCCGCGCTTTGCCGGCCCTCGAGCGCTTGGATGAGCTCTTTGCACATGGTGCACAAAGGCCGCAAACTTTGGAGACACAGCAAGCTCACCACCTGCGCACCTGCGCACCTGTGCAAGGATGCCCCTTGTGCGCTCAGCACCTTCGAGACCGAGACTGACAGCTCTTCGACTGCAACTCACGTCAAAGGGTGACTATCGGTGATTTCAGTGCAGATGAAGCAAGTACTTGTTGCGACTGCTTTTCTAGATGCTTTCAACTTTTCTCAGTCAAGGTGCCGCCTGCCGTGCAAAGTCTGCGCACTGGCGCTGCGACCGTGACCACGCCAGCGCCCCGACGTCGGGAAAGAGACGTGCGCCGCCCGCTGGCGGGCCTCGGCCGGCCAGAGGTGCCGAGAGCATGCACAAACAGCTGCCAAGATTTCCAGATTATATATATATATTTTTTTTTTAATTATCAGTGCAAGGTTCAACGCTCCTATTTTCGAGCATAAAAGCGGCTGTCGAGTGTACACTTCTCGTTTTGTGCGTGTCATCCTTTGCGGACCAGCACTCCTCCCTGGTCGTGCGTTTAGCATCTGACCAGCATTTGAAAATCGAGCCGTAGGCTCAAACCGCTTCAACCGCCACACACTTTACATTGGCGGATCTCAGTCATCGGTCCCGTGACCGCATTGCACCGAGCATCGGTGTGGAAGTTGCCGAGCTGGTCCTCATAGACGAAGTTCGTCTCTCGAAGACTTCTCTGGCCTCTGGTGGCCCTTTGACAGGCTCCACACACCGGTTGTTCATGAACTCGGTTGGCCTTGCTCAATCCCCTGCAGCTCCGCTGTCTATGGAAGCACTTGCTGGACTCTGCGAACCAGATCTTCCACGTTGGCTCATTGGGGAATCGCCTCCTCCTCCCAGTCAGGGTGATCTGCAGATGATGCCCTCCAGGTAGGTCAGCTTGATTCGGCGGCTCCTCCTGTGGCTCATTCAGCGCGGGATCCGGTCTCCCTTGATGTCCATCTTCAATGCCTCCGCCCATCCTGGTACCCCTTGGTGATGAGGATGAAGCACTCTGCCCTCCATGGTTCATTTGCTGCCATTCCCCATCACGTTGACGTGGCTCTTGATCTCCTCCTCCTTGAGGTCTGGTAGACGTCCTTGTCCCGGAAGAAGATTGACCAGCCAAGCGAGAGACCCTCACTCTACGCGTCGCCGGATCGTCCTCCACCCGGTTCCAATGCAAACGGCATTTTTGAATGACCTTCATGAGCACCATTCCCAGCAACATCATCATGACTCTGAGGAGGTACAAGATCTGGTCACCCTCGACATTCTCATCGGCATTCTTGGTGACATTCTCCGCCATGGCTCCATGCACCTCTTTCAATGCCGACAACACCACAACAAGCCTCATGGCCTTCTCCAAGTGGTACTTCGCGACCAACTTCATAGCCCTCGGTGCGACAATGCCCTTGTCCTCCTCATGCACTTCGTCCACTGAGTCAGGCTGCCATGACATTCCCATCCGTTGCCTCAGCTCGTTGACCCGGGCCACTGGCAACGACTTGGTGCCGATGTCCGCGATGAGCTCTCTTCCAGGCTGGTACTTCAGCTCCCATTGACCAGACTGGATCCTCCATTTGAGGTGGGCGGCCCGTACCTTCAAGTGTCTTGTACGCCACGCTCCAGTTGCACAACTTGCTATTGAAACTGCAGCTGTGTTGTCGCACTTGAGGAACTTCGGGACGTCCTTCGCCATCTCATCAACCAGACATGCGATGCTGTCTCCCACGACCACAGCTTCGATGACCTCTATGAGCTCTGCCTCCGCGGTTGAAAGGGCGGGGAACGGCTGCTTGCAGCTCTTCCATGCCACCGGTGCTCCGGCCACCGTTGTGATCACGCAGCCATGGCTATGAGCACCACCTGGAGCGAAAGAGGCATCACTCACTGACTCCAGGATGAAGTTGGCGTCTCTCCTGTACCACAAGCCCAGGCCCTGCGTGGCATTCAAGTGCCTGATCAGCTGGTATGCGGTTTGGATCGCCCATTTTGGGGCCCGGCTCGTCGCTGAGCAGATTCGGCTGACCGTGTAGGCAATGTCCGGCCTCGTCTTCGTTGCCAGCCACAAAAGTTCTCCTCCGAGTTGTTGTGCCTCTCGGACCTGCAAGGGCGTGCGATCCAGCTCATCCTCGGGTTCCTGGGATTCCTTCATCATCTGAGCGCTGCAAAGGTCCTCCACGCCATGTCGCCGAACCACTTCCCTCAAGTAGGAACATTGATTGGCAAAGAAGTCTCCTTGTTCAGTTCGGCTCAACTCCATTCCACAGTACCGAACTGGTTCACGATCTCCCACCCACGTAGGTTCGGACGTCTCCCAGGTCCTTCGAAAGCTCTGGAGCCCTGCCCTCACAATCTCCTCGGTGCCGAAGAGCATCACATCATCCACGTACACCAAGGCGAGTCCCTCAACCTGGTCTCCATCTCCGGCATCTTTCCGACGCACCAACCACAAGTTCTCCTCCGCGAAGCTCTGTTGGTACTCATAGGTGACGGAGTTCGTCTGAAAGGACATCTGGCTGATCTCGATGTCCCTGTAGTCCCCCCAAAGCTTCGGAGACTCACGCAAGCCATACAGGGCCTTCTCCACCAACCACATTTCCCCGTCCTTCACCAATCCCAGCCGAATGAGGATCTTCGGAGGAAGCATGAGCGCCAGTCGTTTCCTCTTCGTGAGGTCCTCCTCCTGCTGCTCTTCCATGGCCATCTCTTCTTGACCATCGCGACCTCCTCCAGCTTCTTCATGATCCTCTTGGGGTCGACCATGGGCGTCTTCCAAGGCAAGGTTCTTTTTCCGGCTGCTCTCCTGAAGTGTTCGTAGAGGTGCGTTCAAGAAAGCAGTCTTAATGTCCAGGCTAGCCGCCTGCCAGCCTCGCGAAGCGGCCAGTGCCAATGAGGTCCTCAAGCATGTAGTATCCGCCCCACCTGCATAGAGCTGAGCTGCCTCCGAACGATCTCCAGGACCTCTTCCAGCTCCCTTCAGGTAGTTCCCGCACACCACCAGGCGGCATTTCCTTCGTCCGTCAGGGGCCTTCACCGCATGGATGGCCTTCCCTGGAACCACCTCCACCTTGTCTCCATGCTCTCTCTGGTAGTAGGCCACTTCTGCGGGAGTCAGTCGCCGAATCGCCTTCTTGCCCTCCAAGGACTGGATCTCCTTCATAATGGCCTCCAACCACAGCTCCCGGTCTTTGTACACCTCATCGTTGGGCACAATCCGGGTTTGGAGAATCTCGTCTTCCAAGAGTCGTTGGGTTGATGCCACCTGTTCTTGTCGTAGAGCAACCAGACCTCGGCTCAACGGAGGAACTTCTCTTGGAGCAGCTCCCAACAAGTGACCCTCCTCCTCATAGACGGCCTGAAAGAGCATTCGACGATCCTCCTCCCTCTGTAGGTCTTCTTCTCCCCGTATGCATGCCAGTGGTGTCTTCTCTCTCAACCTCCAGCGAAGCCGTACAGGGTCGTCTTGGATATGGACCTCCTCCATGACCAAGTCTCGTTCGTCGGGCTTAGGCTCTTTGACATCCTTTATCAAGTAGCTCACTACCTTGACCTTCTCCTTGTCCGTGAGGACCGCGTGCCCTTTGGACACTTGCGGTGTAGGTGTCAGGTAGGTCACCATCTCGGATGTCGCTTCAAAAGGTCCTCCTCGCTCCCAAGCTCGCTTTCTCACCGTGAGCTGCCCAAAGCGTGGAAGCGTCTCCTTGATGTTCTCCCTTCTCCTTCTTTCCAGCTCCGTGACATGTCTCGCCGCTGCCGGCCACCACTTCGTGGGCATGCCCGAAGCATGTAGAAGTCGACGGACCCTTTGCTTGATCGACGCAATCATGGCCTCAGCACGACCGTTTGATTGGTGTTCATCCGGAGGACTGAAGGTTCTAGCCAGCCCCCTCTCCAAGCACCACCTCTTGAACGGGTTGTTGTCGAACTCCCGGCCTGCATCGGTATGGATTCTAGCCACAGGGTAGCCGTGGCGTCTCAGCATTCCAAATAGTTCCTGTGTTCCTGCAAGGACTTCTGCTGCGTTTTTCGAGGTCAGTGGTAGGCAAATGGACATTGTGGTCATCTTGTAGACCTTCTGGTGCTCTTCAACTTCCTCTGGAGTCTTTGGAGGTGGTACCGATGGTGGTTCTGGTTGACTGGGTCCTGGATCAGGCGGCGGCTCTAACTGATCACCGTCTCCTTCGCCCTGCCGTTCATCCTCCTCCGGCTCACCCATCTCCAGATCTTCGCCCTCATCTGACGTAGGTCGATAGGACATCTCCTCACCATGAGCTTCCAGATCCTGAGCCAGGTCATACTCCACCTCCCGAAGAGCCTCCTCTTCCTCGAGTGTAGGCCAGTCCTTGTCTGGGATCACCTCCAGCTGTTCAACCTCGTCCCATGGTGCCTCCTCCATGACCGGCCACGTGTATGCTCCAACCAGGAGGTACTTCTTGAGGTCGCCGTCAATGTCATGGCCGAGCACAAATGGTCCAGTCAGATCCAGCGACAGCGCACACGGAGCCGCTATCCCTTGAGCTCGATGTGGTCGATCCCTTGCCGCTGCTCTCTGACAGACAGCGCAGTCTCTGCGGAACGGCACGTGTCCCTGTGCCAGGTGCTCCTGCCAAGACAAGGCCTTCATCGTCACCCGCCTCTTCTGGATGTTGACAGTGATGCTTCTTGCAATCTCTCGCATCATTCCGGGGGCCCATCTCGCCAGCTCGGAGCTCGACACCTCATGCTTGGTCTTCAAGAAGGCCTTGGGCGGGCCCCGATCCTCGGGAACCATGAACTCCATGTTCAATGCCAGTGAGGTAGGTTTCACCGCCATACCACCATAGGCACCCTGGTTGAAGGTCACCATGTCCAGGTTGAGATACTCTTTCATTACCTTCCACTCTTCGGTTCTCCAGAAGGATGCCACTTCCGGCATGTGCTGAGGCGCTGCAGGCTGCTCCATCAAGAACCTGACCGTTGGCAGCAACGCGGGATTCTTCTCCTGGGACAATCGTGCATCTCGACCCAGCTTTGCCACCACATAGAGCGTCACCATACGCAACAGCAGCACATCGTCCAAATGGCACTTTGCCCTCTCCACTTCATCCAACTCGTCCAAGCCCCAGGG